ATGGAAACAGCTACTTAGAGATTTGGAGCCATTTAAAGGAAAATAGTGCTGTATACCATCAGTGCTAACTTTACAGCTCGCTGTTGAACACCCAAGCTGCTTTAAAGATATGCTTGGGGATGCTGAATATAGAGGTTTAACTCCTAATGAGGTGTTAAGTGGCTTAGTAATTTATTTCCTTCCCAGGGGCTAACTATTATGTCAGGAGAGAAAGGGCAGCTGCCAGCCTTGACATTTCCATGATCCTCATCAGGACTGGAAGGATTATGATTGCCTTGTTTGCCACAGGGCAATGAGCTCTCCTGGTGTCAGCAGCACAGGGGGCTTCCTGTACCATTTTATTCATGTTATAGTAGCTTCAGTTATTGCTAGCCAGGAGTAAACACCGCAGGAAGGATGACGAAGAGGTAGCCTGTGCCTGGGGAAGCCTGTCAAAGTGAGGAGCTCCCACTGAAAGCCAGTGCTGGGCAAACTGGTTCAAAGCTATGGGGAAAACATGTCCCAGTGATATGGGATGATAGCTACTTGCTGCCTCTTTTAAGAACCAGGTTTTCTAGCCCAGTGTGTGCTGTCTCTAACCAATGTGGGGTTTAAGCCTCAGCTGCTTTTGAACAAAGGCTTTCTTAGCACAGACCAGGAGGAGTTGGTAAATATTTCATCTTGTTTTGGTTGTTTTATGCTCATGTAGGTGCTGCTTTACTGAGACACAGTCTATTTTGCCAAGCAGCAGAGCTGGCAGCTTTGTGTGGTCACAGAGCTTTAGCTTAATTTCTCTGTGAGAACTGCCCACGTGGTGAGATGTGTCTGAATGTTATCCATCTCCATGAGCAGGGCAATGCAAGAAGTCAGTCTGTTTGCAAGATGGGTGAAGCACTATGCAAAAGTTATTATTGGGGTATTGCTTAGCTCAGTAAAGGTGAGCTCTGGTGATAAGGTGAAGGGATGAGTGTATCCTATTATGTTATCTCTTTATAACTGGTTACTAGGAAATTGCCAGCATAAAACATCACTACAGTTCTTGAGCCTTACACTGAGACAGCTTTGGTGGGACCGGTATTTGCTTCAAAGAAGAAAAACCTCCTGATTTCCCCAGGCAAGGTAAACTTTCTTCACACTGTGTTGTTTGCCACAGCCCTGGTTTTCATCCTTTTCTACAACAAAGGTCTCTGGCTCAGAGGAGATAACATCACAGTAAAGGCTTGTCGTACCTGTTGTCCAATTATGTCAGTCTTTAAAAACAGCTCCACAAGAACAAAAATAGCTCTGACAGCACGAATTATAGTGCTCTGTTGGATGGGTAATTTTAGTGCCTTGGTAGGATAACTTAGATGCTGTCACAATTAAGACTATACAATGCCGTGGTAACAGATGTGAAACTTGGAGTTAGGCCTATCTTAGCTCTTTGTGTGTTTCAGAAATGGACTTTGCCAAATGTATTTTCCACGCTGCAGTCTAAGCTAGGAGGAGATTTAACATGGCCCCTGCTCTGTCAGCATGGCCATTTCCAAATTACTGTTTACTCCTTTTAACCCCTCTGACCCTTAGTTCTCACTGCCTCCTGCAGCTGCAGACCGTTTCTCCCAGAGGACAGTGCCAACACCTTGTTGCATGCACTGCTTAGTTTAAAGCACACTGGTGAAAAGCCCAGCTCCTCTCAGTGGGTCATGTTGTTGAGGTCATGCACCCTCTTCAAAGCCAGGCAGATGGAGGCATCTGCCGAGGGCTTCTTCCAGCAAATGAAATGCAAATGTGCATGCAGGGCCACTGAGCCGGTAAAGCCAATGGGACTATGCCCGTGCTGCAAGATGAGTACCTGCTTTAAAGCTGTACTGCGTGAAGGGTGATGTCCCATCTCAGACAAGGTCCTTCTAACTTAGCTGCGCTGGATGACCTTGAGTGATTGCACGGATAATGGCACAGGAGGGGAGGGCTGGTCTATAGGATCCCTTTGCACTGTGCAGGAAAATAACCACTGCCACGGAACTGCCGAAGTTCTCATTTGGACTGCTCCCTCAGTATGAATAGATGGGAGGAACGTGCTGCCTCAGCATAGCTGAGGGTGCTGGCACTCACTTGGTTGCTTGGCTGCTTAGTCATGGGGTTATGGGGTGCCAGCTTGCAGTGTATATTCCTTTTCTAATTGCCTCTGTGTTTCTCAGTTGTGCTCTGTCATTTATCACACTGCAGGAGACCGTTTTCCAGTGTCTGTGCTCCATTCTGCTGCGTGTCACCTCATCTGAACATAAACTCCAAAATATTGTTCTATCTGTCGAGCATTAAATATTGAATAGAAATTTTGGCTCAAGAGTTAGATGCTACAGTTCATTCTGACATAGTGAAGGGTAATAGGAAGCCACTGCATAGCTAAACTTTAAGAAGCCTGTGGTCTGTAGATTTATCTTGTTGATGTATTAATATTAATCTAAGAGTCAGGTAGCCAAGATTTCACAGTTCAGAAATAAACCCACCGTGAGCAGTGACTCAAACGCAGTACATGCCCATGCCAGAAGCCGCTGCAATACAGTAATGTTTCATTTCTGTTTCCATACAGAAATTCCAGTCTATGGATATTACTTTCAGAAATGGGATTGCTGACAGGAGAGGGTACTGAAGGAAGAGAATATTTGCTTTGACTTATGTAGGATGAATGCAGTGTCTGGGTGATGTTCCTCAACACAAATCTTCAGTCCTGTCTGGCTTGACTAATATAAGGTTGTCTTTATCTTGCGGGTGTGATGGAGTAGTCCCAGGGGTGAGGAGAAAGCCTGCGACAGATCAGGCTCTGGTTTAGCCTTGGCAGAGCTGGGGTAATGGTTGGACTTGATGGTCTTAAAGGTCTTTTTCAACATGGTTGATTCTGTACTTTTAGGCATTTCACCTTATTCCATAGTTTTTCAGTTGTAAAAAGAGGTCAATGGCACTTCCAGCTGTAACAAAGAAGCTATGAGGAAAGATTCCTGTGATGTTCCTGAGGCACCTTGATTGGAAACACTGTGGGAAGGGCCTCAGCAGGTGACTTCCAATCCCACGCTGTTAGTTTTGTTGGTTTATCGCTTTTCAGGCCTGCTCCTTTTGCAGTGTGGCAGGGCAAGCACCTCTGAGCTTTGCTGTTCCGTGACCTTGGATCACCAGAGGTCTCTAGCGAAATACCCTCGCTGGTGTTTTCCCAAAGGGTTTTCTCTCTGCATGTGCTGCCCTGGAAGTGCAGAAGGCATCTACTTGTTCTGAACCTTACTGTTAGGAGAAAGGAGAGGAGATGAAATGTTTTTTTGTGATGCTATATTGACTCCTCTGGCCCAGAAACCCCTCATCCCTTGCTTTGTTTGCCTCGGGCCTCTGGCCACTGCCCTGCTTACCAGGGTGTGTGAGAGATCCCTCTTGGGGCTCTCTGGATGGTGAGAAGACTCAAGGCCATACAGCCCTTGGTCCCACTCATTTGTTGTCAACTCTCCCAGGCAGTTTGGTTTCATTATGAACTATTAGGGTCAAATATTTTCTCCAGTGAAGAGACCAAAACCCTGAAGTCTCTCTAGCAGGGACTGCTCTGCCAAGGCTGGGGGGCTCATTGCAGAGGCAGTAGGCTGGGCACAGGAGGGAAAAGACAAAGCTCTGACTTTTTAATGTCGTCATTAACGATGAATGTATGCTATGAATGTTCTCTCCTATGTGTAAGTTCACCTGGCTATGAAATCCCAGTTCTCAGCAATGTGATTCTGCTGGAGTATCTTTCCCCAGGCAACACCAAGGCACAGGCTTTTATTGGACTTTAGGACTGCACAGTTTGTACTTTGTAGGAATCTCCATTGCTATTTGAGGGGATAATAATAATTAAAAAAAAAAAGCAAATCCTCAAGAATAGCCTTGAAAAATACTCCATCTGGCCTTTCCGTAGGAGATAACCGGGACCAGAGTCTTCTGTACAGTTGCTGCTTGGAGAAATCCAGTGATTAAAAGGATGACAGCATGGGACTTCTTTCGTTAGCAGGGACTGTCCTTGTACCATGTATGTAATATGTATGCAGTACTTCTGTATTCCGCCGCCTGGATGCACTGACTGTATGTCTAACTCAGTCTGACAGAGCACTAGTCTCCCAAAGGTGCAAACTTCTTTGCTATGTGGCTCAAGAAGCAAGGTGCTGAACATGAGCACCAGCTCCCTAGAGCTGCTCCTTGTTGTGCAGGCACAGTGCTGGCTGCCACGTCAGCTCTGAGTTCATCTACTCCTACTCAGATGAGTGCTAAGGTTAAATGGAGCATGGTTGATAGTCTTGAGACCTCAGAAGAACAAGATCTGCTTTATCTCCATCACGATTTTCACTATCAAAACACATTCCAGGGAACAAAATCAGTTGGAAGTGGTAGTTAAATTGTATTAGCTTCAACTAGTTTAGAAAGCTGGAGGAGGGAGCATTTGAAGATTGAACACACTGAACTTTTATTTACAGTATGGCATGAGGCAATGGAAGTGGCTCTTCACTGGGAAACCAAACCAGGCCTTTAAACTTGTGTGCATCTCCTCTGTCTCTGTTCTCAGTTCTGATTTATTTTCCCCACCCCAGTCCTTTCCTGACATTTTTAAGCATTAAATGTTAATGTAATTAAATGCTAATTTGACTGCAGCCCGTAAGAAACACAGCACGCATTCATTTCATACCCAGAAAGCATCGCAGGAGTGTGGAAGTTTACTTCTTTTTCTTCCGTTTCCCCAAGTTTTGGAACCTCTGCTTCCAAGAGTGGTGCCAGGGAGCAGCACATGTGTCCTCAGCTCATGGTGGGACCACGAGAGTGAAGAAGTGTAGCTATGGAAAAAAATATTGTGGGCATTTTAAACCTGAAATCCTGCCCAGAGTGATATATGGTATCATGTGCTGTGATCTCTAGGCTATCTTATTAATGCTATTGGTCATAATCTGGCCAAAGATGATGACTGCAAGGACTGTTTCATCCAGTACAGAGCAGAATCTTAACGTGACTTTGGTATTTGATGTCTTTCCTCCGAGGGGTGGCAGGTCCTACTCCCTGTGGGACATGGAGATCCATTTGTCTCTTCTGGGAGACCTTCAAAAGACCTTGAAGGACATCTCTTCAGGGCCTCACTCTCAAATGAAGAAAGGGTCCTTTTCCTGAAGCAGAGGTAAGTGCCCCTTTTTGTGCCAATGTAGTATGTCATGCAGTGACTATGCACACATCACGGTCCTTAAGAGAAGTTAATGGAAAACATTCCTATTGTCAATTATGGTCATTTTTATAGAGCAGTTGGCTGAAGTTAAACCCTACTATGATCGCTAGCACTCCTAAGCACAGGCATACCCTTCACATAGTAATCATAGCAGCAAATACCCTCCAGGTTTCAGTAAGGAAATGTTCTATTGTTTCAATTTGCTGTAATTAAAGCCTGCTCTTTGCATTAGAAAATCAAATTCCATTTACGAGATGAATAATGCCCTGGAGTTCTCATTGCTTCCATTGTTCTGAAATGATCAAACTTTTCCCTATTTGGCAAAAGCAGCAGAAACAAAAGCCTGCCATTTTTTTTTTCCCCTCTTAAAATTAACCCCAAATATCATGCATAGTGACAGCAGAATAAAAGCTCTGTTATGTTGCTGCTTGAAGGCTGCCTTGATCCCCCTTCCCCAGAGAAGGCACCTCTCCTTGACTAGGGAGGCTCTCTGTTGGACCATTTCAGCAAAACCTCATGGATTTGCCTGTACAGGGTTAACAAACCGCCATCTCCCTTCCTGCAGAATCAGGAAAATCTGAATTATGTGGGAGCAGATGGATGAGGATTTTTTACTTATTTCTTACTCCAGTTTAGTTCATGTGTCCCCCTTAGCTATCAAAAATAAGACACAACGCAAGCTACTTCAGCAGTTCAAAACGGAATGGTTATCCCCAGGGATCTTCCAAGCATGGATAACTACCAGTCCCACACTACTCATCCTCCATTCCCTTCCTCTCCCTCTCACAGCCGTGCGGTTTGCAGCTCACCAAATCCTCCCTATTTACCAAGGCAACAAGTCCAGGGCCAACACCTTGTACAAACCTGCCGGATATTTCAGGTTGGAAGGGAGATCACAGACTGGCCTCCTGGTCAAGGCTGCTCAGCACCATGTACAGTGGAGTTTCAAGTATCTCCAAGGATGGTGATTCCTCAGCTTCTCTGGACTCCTGCCCAGGGCCTGCATCACTCTCATGGGGATATTTGGGGTGGGGAAAGTTGTTCAATTTTGCTGAAATTGAATACATTTCAAGAGTTTAATATTATTAAAATTAGATTTATTCATCTCAACAATAACTAGGCCATGGTTAGGAGCGACAGATTTTCTCTCTGCCACTGCTAGTTGCAAGTCATAAACAGCTTTAAAGAGCAGGAGCGGATGCCAAGAGGAAGACAAGTGGGTGGTACAGAAAGCTGGAAGAAAAGAAAATAGCTTCTCCTGGATAATTTGCTCCTGGATCTTAAACGCTTCTCAGTGGTCTCATATGAGTCAGGGAGCTGTCAAGTGAAGCTGTAGGCAATTTAGAAGACAGCATGGAGAGTGCTGGATATCTTACCTGAGGGCAGCCCCTGTTCTCTATCCAAAGATTAGAATACATGAGCATTCAATATCTGACCCTATAAAGTGACAGCAGCATAGTGAGGTGAGCCCCTTTACAGCTTGTTCCTTGAACAACGTAGATCAGCCAAATATTACAGATTTTTCAAGCCTGTTTGGGAAACAAATCCTTAAAAATTTGGGGTTGTTTAGTTTTGTTTTCAACAGTGAGCTTGGAACAATTGTTTGACATCACAAATGTCCAGAGCTCTTAGCAAAAGGGCCTTTTCTAATCAAGGAAATGATGCTGGGATATTCCATTTTTCTAAGATTTTCTTTCTAAAGCTTAATTCAATACTTAAAATCAAGAATATGGTTGACTTGCTATTGGAAGTTCCAGTTCTGGAAAGTGAAACTACCTGATAGGATCTATTTGAATGTTTTGATTTAAAAGTGGGAGTTAGAGAACGCACTGAGAATTTCCTGGAGCATGGGAAAGAGGCTTCTTTTAGCCTTTCTATAACCTGGTGGTGACTCTTATTGTTGGTTGGTTGGGTTTTTTTTCCCCACTTGATTTAAGATAACACCAGTTCTTGTCTTGCCTTTTTGTTTCCATGTTCTGTGCCTGCCCTGATCTGGGGATGTCTAACCCTTCCTGAAATCGAAGGGGAAGCATGCCCCTGCCTCTGCAAACACCTCAGAGAGCTTGCCCTTGAGTATTGACTTGGGCTTATGATCCTGCAGTAAATCAGTGGGATGTTTCTGCTGGGCAGTGCATCCCACGTTGCACCTGCCTGAGCCTCTGCCCAGCAAAACCAAAGGGAATTCAGAGCTCAATGAAGGAGAAAATACACTGCATTCCCTGATTCGAGGAGTTTCTTCTCTCACAGTGTTTCTTCTGTGATCTGTTCTTGTGATACAGTTATCATTGTGCTTAAATCCAAAGGGAATCTGCAGATTTGCATCGCCTTATCTGAAAGCAGGGAGGTCAAAAGAACACAGATGGAGCAAAACTCCTTCCGCATTTCTTTTCAACCTACCTCAGAGACGGTGAGAACCCTCAAGTGTTTCTCTTGGGTAGAATCAGCCCTTTCAGAACCAGATGGTATCAAGATGGATTGATGTGAAGGCTGTTCAGTGTCCCCAGCTATTGGCATGATTGCAGCCTATCTCAAACACTCCCTGTGAAGGCCACATGCTGATCCCCTTCCTCATGCTGGGCCATCCCCTGCTCTCCAGCTAGTCATAATCATGCTGGAGAAAGCTGGATTCAAAGAGGGCAGTGCAGATGGCAGATCCTCATGCACAGCATGCAGGGGCAGGCTCAGGTCCAAAGACCTGGCAGAACTGGGCCAGCAGCCATTAGAAACCTGCAAACCCATATTGATGAGATAGGTAAGGACTCTATTGAAGTTCTCTTAAAACAAATGGAGACCATTCTGGGTTCTCTTTTGACCTGCCTTTCTAAAACCCTACTGTCCTATGCTATTAGAAACAATGTCTGCAAGCAGTGAAATTCAATTGAAAACGTTTCAGGGGAAAAGATCAACGGTATGAACAATACTTTGGTTTGCTGAAAATCACAGAATCCCAGACTGGTTTGGGTTGGAAGGGGCCTTAAAGCTCAACCAGTTCCAAGCCCTTGCCATGGGCAGGGACGCCTTCCACTAGAGCAGGCTGCTCAAAGCCTTGTACAACCTGGCCTTCAGCTTTGCCACCCTGTGCAGGCAGCATGAAGGTGATAGTGCACCTCTTAGCAACTGCTTGCTTGGTCTGCATAATTGATAGCTGGCAAATCTAATGGTCTGAGAGGTAAACTGTCAGCAGCTTGACAGCCTTACCCAGGAGTGCTGCATGTCGTGCAGGCCAAGGGCATGAGCATATCCAAAAGAGGCACCTGGCACCCTGAAGCCCAAGGCACGAAAGTCACTGTGCAGTCAGCCCTGTCTGACGTTCATGTGCAGTTTGGGATGGCAGTATGTTATGTATACTGCAGGTGCAGCGTTTGTCTTCCTGAGGGTGTTTGACTGCCACAGCTTCTGTGTGTGTGCATGAGGAACAGTCAGATTCAGCAGCTGGCACCTTTGGGATGGGGCCTTACTCAGCTTAAATGAGTCATTCATCCAACCATTTATCTGAGCTTATTGTCCATGATGAATGTCCTGCCTTCCTTCTGTCCCATCTTAGGGGTCATGCTGGTGAGATACCAGCATCCCCTGATGTCACTTGGTAGGTGGCAGGATAGGGATGCCCAGCACCCTTTAGTGTCAGGAGACAAGAACACCTCCTGAGTCATGGGAGGAGCAATCCGTGCGTGTGTCCCATAATTGTCTGCCACTGGGTAGGTTAAAGGCAGACATTCTCCATGACTAACATGGGAAGAATGTGGCTCGTGTACCGGGTGGCAAGGGTGTGTGTGTGTGTGTGACATGGCAATCTGCAGTGTAGAATCATGGCTAATCAACTGCATGCTTCGAGACACCTGGGAGAAGGATTAAAACCTGATTTCGGGATGGGTAGTGGGGTTGGTTTTGAAGCAGGAGGTGCTGGGAGCCATTCCTGAAATGACAGCAGTCAGCAAATCCATCACAGGAAAAAGAGAAGTCCCACGGTATTCAGAGCAATGCTGGCATTGAAATTGCAGCCAGCCAATGGCTGTGTTGTTTTCATGTTGAGTCACGCTAACAAATACATCAGGTGGATAAGGAATGAGCATCCTGCAGAGCGTGGGGGCCTCGTGCTGCTGACAGAACACAAAAGCTCGTGCAGGACGGTGACAGCAATTCTGCGAGGTTCGGAAAAACAGATGATACTTGGCTAGAACAAGGTCTGGAGCTGGGGATGTGAGCTCAGCCATACATAAAGCAAAAAGAACACTGACATCTCATGTAATTTAAACCCTTATTTAGGCAGCAAAGTCCTCACCCTGGGCTATGCAAGCTTGATTCCTTTCCAACAGTACCTGTGACTCCAGTTAGGCTGTTTATCAGCATATATACTACTCAGCATATAGGGCTAGGATCCAGGCTTAAAACAACAAGAGCTTCAGGGCTGTGGGTTTTGGTCTGGGGAACTGTTTGGTTTGTGCAACTCATACAACATCTGGCAGTAATTCATCGGTACTTTGGTATGGTGGCTCTAAGCATTATGTTCTTGACTACAACTGCATCACTGCATAGCTATCTTCCTAATCATGGTAGCATTCATGAGATCAGCTAGAAACAGCCTTTGGACTCTTCCTAATGGGCCATCCTGCTGATTCTGCTTTATGTCATGGAGCATTTCCTGCTCCATCTGTGGCTCAGTTAGTCCTCAGTTTGCATGGATGCCATGGATTCCTGCTCACTAGGTCTCTACAAAAACTCATCTTGTCAGTTTTGGACCATTCTTTTGATCTGTGAAGACTCCTCTGATTTTGATCCCACCTGCTCAAGTCCTTGCAAGCTCAGTGCCACCCACAGCTCTGTAAGTATACTCCCTTCACTCTCTCCGTCATTACTGGGCTGTTTCTGTCCTATCCCTCAAGTCAGTTGCCCATCAAAGAACAAAATGAGTTTGGTGAAGCCATGCTGGTGGGTTTGTTGAACACTCAGTTATCTTCCAAAACTTTAAATCCTTACTTATGCCAGGGTCTTTCCAGGAACCAAAGCTAAGCCTAATGGGTCCTTCATTCTGGGGTCTAAATAGCTCAGTGCTGCTCACCTCCAGGTGCTTAGGGACTTGCTTGTCCTCAACTGGTCCAGTATTGCTCAGATGCTCTGCTGCCCATTCCCCCAGACACTGCTGGCCTGAGCTCACCTGCCTCCTCCCAGCAGCCATCCTACAGGACCTGATTCTAGAGGAAGGCCTCTATTCTGTCCTGCTTTCCTACCTCCTTTGTGCTTTCATTTGAAAACACCTGGCTTTCAGGTGGAGAACCACATGAATCAGCTCCGTCGACAGAGCAGGTCTGTCTGCTCATGTAACTGGGAAAAGAACCCTCTGGAATCATTCTGGGCATCCCATCCTAATGGGAATTGAACCAAAGCTTCCCAGAAGATGCTGTGATAACCAGGCAGCCAGGTGTCGCTTGCCAGGGAGGTTCCTCAGAGAGGCTCAAAGTCTGCTGGGAGTGGATGAGGCAATGAAACCATGCTAATTGTTGGTGCAGGGCTTGCAATGTGAGAGACAGACTTTCTCAAGGGACCAGTGCAAAGATGCTCATTTACGCAAGATGCTGTGTTCTGTGCGAGAGCTGAAACAGAGCCCTTACTGTTTCATAAACCAATGACCTGATCATTGGCACAGCTCTGGCTTTATACTGCAGCTCTGTTCTCTGCAGATCTCCTCTGAGAGTTTGGGGCTCAGGGAAAGCTTGACTCTGCAGTTGATTTCCTTCCTAACAAGTAGGAGTTTACAGGTGAAGATGCAGAGATAGGAAACAAATGACTTAGCACAAATAAACAACACAGAGACCTGACTGA